AAAACACTTGACTCCGCTTCTCATTTCCCAATTGGATACCACGTCGGCCCGTTTCAGATGCAAATCTGCAGTAATGACTTCTGCCTTGGGAACTTCTTCCAGACCTTTGAAGGGCAACTGTTCAAGAATGGGTATATCTAACAACTGAGAGAATTCTTCCATGGTAGGCACTAACTTATAGTCTGGAAAGGTGAAGTAGTGGTGCTTGGGATCAAAGAACTGAAAGAGTACACCCGTCATCTTTTCATCAAAGTTTGAAGTAACCAGGTTGAGAAGTCGACCATGTTTCTTAGTGAATGCAGAAGTTTCGGAAACCTTTGATACTAGCTCTTTGAGTTGGGAAGGTATCTTCACAAAGCTGACTCGGATGGTGTTTCTACGAACGGAAGTCATGATCTGCAAAACATAACAAAGATAAATTCCCTTGGTCCTTGAAATGGTTAGTGCAATAAGAATGGATGCTATGTTATGATGCATGATGTCATGATAAACCATAGGCATAGCAAACACAAACAAATCACACCAAGTTCTTAGGTTTAAGGCTTACATGAGGTTAAAGGTCATACTCTCTTGAAGAGTAGTTGGTTTCAAACCTGTCTTAAAAAGTAAACGGGTTCTAAGGCATCTCAATATCACTGACCATCCTTTATCGGGCATTGTCTCAGCTCAAGCAATCTTTTCTTGCGACCAAAATATCCCAAAAGTCTGATCTCAATGAGTGTAGCATCGAGTATCAACCAATCCTCAACTATATACCGAGGCTGTCTATCTCACTACTTTATAATGGACAAGTTTATTCAATTAAGGTTCTAAGGTCCGTTAGTGCTTCACGACACCACGCGACGACCCCATATTCTCCTCATTTCCCCCCGAAGGATACCGGTACCAACCAAAGTGCCATACCAACACAGCCATCGCTTAAACCATATCGGTCTACACTGTACAGTCTCCATGATCTATTATTGTTTACCTAAAAAGTGCCCCCAGATCCGGGTGTAGGATCTATAGTAACCCAAGCAAAACCTTTAAGAATAAAGCAAACAAACAAGAAAGCAAATTTCAAAATGACCTAGATCCTAAGGTATACCCCACTAAATCAACCTTATACTCCCCAGCAGAGTCTCCAGTTCTATGATACGGTGGAAGAACCGACTGTTATACTGGTTTGTGTTTTTTTTCCGCAAATGTCACGGTAAGCAAGAGTCGCCACCGACTTTTATTTCATCCAACTAAGGAAAAGGAAAAATAACAGAAAAAACCTTTTTCGAGAATGTTTTTGAGTACGGGGGGTAGATTATAGAAAGGGAAGGTGTTATCACCCTTTCTATCCATGGTTTTCCACGGGCTCTTAGGTACTTTCTCATTTTAAAATAGCTTGTGTGTGTTTGTTTTGAAAAAAGTTTACTTCGTGATAACCCTTGTATCAGTCCTCAAGGGTGCGACGAAGTTCTTTTGAAAATTGTTTGAAAAGTGTTGGTGTGAAATTTTTTTTGTTTGAGCAAGTACCTAAGAACTATCTACCTACTCGAAAAAGACTGTTTGTTTTCCTTTAGATATCGCTATCCCATTATTAAGGAATAGGTAGCACCGTCGTTGGAGTTTTAAGGGACGTTCGAAGGGACAGATACGGTCACAAATATGGATCTCTTGATATGTGTTTATGGCTCTCATTGTTTATGGATATCTTGTTTATGGCTCTCTTGTTTATGACTCTCTTGAGGATGATATGTGTTTATGGATCTCCTTGTCAACGACTCTATTATTTTCTCCCTTGTTTAGGGCTCTTTGTTAGGATTCTGTTTGTGTTGGTTTAGACAAATGAAACTGAAATCTGCAAGCTAAGCTATATATATATATATATATATATATATATATATATATATATATATATATATATATATATATATATATATATATATATATATATATATATATATATATATCAGAAAAACAAATTCACCTCAGTTGGGAAAGAAAATCGAGGTGAAAATTGACTTATTTTTAAATTTAAAACAAAATATTCAGGAATGTGCCACTTTTAATAAAATTAAAACATAATCTGAAGCTACTGGGATTCGAAGTATGTGCATTGAATAGTTTACCCCCCAATTTTCAACAAAAACTGAAAAAATAGATTTTATACTTTTTAAAGATAAAAACATGGTGTGTCTAAGAATTATACCCCGTTTTTTGATAAGTGAGGTGAAATCATTGTCATAAAAAGTAGTTTTTCTATTAGTGAGAGACATATGGGACGTGGAAGGAAAGAATAGTAGAAGAGGGGAAAGCTTAAATGGGAGAAGGAGACATTTTAGATCGCATATCAAGATCCCGAGGGATGTTAATGTGGGAGGTATGAAGCACACAAAGGAACCCATACAAAAAACTTCCTTCTTTTTTACTGAGTTTTCACTGGATTTTGGTGCAAAAGAAATGTAAGCTTTATTTAAATACTATGGAGACATAAATGAAGTGGTAATTCTGTCTAAGAGAGATGTAAGAGGAAGAAGATATGGTTTTGTCATATTTTTTAACGTTCAAAACACGAGGTTGTTGGCTACAAAGCTAGATAACACTTTCATAGGAAAAAAGAAGATTCATGCAAACATTACAAATTTTACAAGATCATTGCAAGAAGAGGATATTTTTCGTGCTTCTTTGAAGAAAAAGCTTGTAGATGAGGGGAATAGGGTGGTAGGGGAGCATTATTATGCTCAAGTGGTTGGAAAAGTCAATGATGACTTGAATCCATCTAAGGACACCAAGGGTTCACGTTTTTTCTTGGGGAGTTCAAGGTGGGAATAGATGCTTTATTGAGGCTTAAAAATCCTATGTTGGATTCACATCTAATATGGGAATGTCACATAATATTCAAGAAACATTCAATTTGAAAGGTTATTTTTCTATCAAGGTCATCCCTATGGGAGCGATTTTTTTTCCTAGAAGAGAGAGTGAAGGGTGAGCTTGATTACTTGGTCTCCGAAGGTGGTGATTGGTTGTATCAATGGTTCATAGAAATCAAAAAATTGAGTATAAAGGTGATGGATAATGAAAGAGTTACGTGATTGAGGTGTTATGGAATACCTTGTCTAAAGGTGATAAAAAACACAAGATGGGAGGGTTAAACTGTGTTAACTTTTTCTTCTTTTTCACTTACAAATCTCTTATCAGATTCTGATCACAAGGGAAAAATCTGAGTCAGTGTTTGGTGGTGATTACAATGGAATAAGGTGATGACAAATAAAGAATAAAGGAAGAAAACACACATGCAATTGCCCTGGTTCCTCTTACAAATCAGGAGTTATCCAATTCCCTTTCACTTCCAGGGATTTCCAATATAACCAAATATGATTACAAATTGCTCAAGCATATAAGCAAGAGACTTCCAATGCCTAGACACACAAGTAAGGGACTTTAATGCTCAAGCACGCAGACAAGCGAATTCATATGCTCAAGCACATAAGTAAGAGACTTCCAAATGCTCATGCACACGAGCAAGAGACATCTGACTCTATAAAAAACATTAAAAGAATGTGATAAACTACAGTTGATATACAATCACATGGGTAGACAATATACAACACAAAAAACTCTAAAACATAAGAACTTCTAAGAATATACAATTGGTAAGAAGTTCTAAGTTAACTTGTGATCTTTGTTTTAATAGAGTAACTTCTCTTTATTTTGTCAAGGCGCAGTGTTATATGTTCTCCAAGTTTTCAACTCTTTATATAGAGAACCATGAAAGAGTTGTTGGAGAGAAATTCTAGCACAAGAGAGTCTTGAAGAGAAGCATCAATAGATATGTCATAAAGCTTCCTGATATGGTTAACGTCGTTGCAATTCCATTGAAAACTCCTTTTCTATAAAAGGAATTATCAGTTGCGATTCTTCAGCCTTCTAAAACTCTCTACTAAGTATTCATGTGATTAGAAGAAGACAAATTGACCTCAGAGTCTGATAACGACTTGTCAAACATTCCTTGGTTCTTGATCTTCAGCTAGCTTCAAGTTATGATCCTTCAGAGTCAGAGTCTTAGCTTCTGATCCTTCAAACTTTGAGTCCTTAGAGGTTGACTAAATTTTCACATACTGACCTGATCAGAGTCTAGAGTCTTGCTGGCTTAATCAGAAGCATATTTTTCGGAGTTTGATCTTCAAAATCGCTCTCTTTAGAGCTTCTTTTTATATGTTTAATGCAATATCAGAATTAACTTTCAATTAGTATATTAATCTTTGTACATGCACACTTAAACATACATTAATCTACACAATTGTTCTATAAATACTTTGCTATCATCAAAACCTAAGGGTATGGTATACACCAATTTTGATAGAATAATCTGTCCCTTTTGATGACGACAAACACAAGTATTTAAGAATAATGGTTGTTGATTTGATTAGCAACGTGACTTCAGGGTTGAGGTTTGTAAGCCCCATCCGAGTTTGATAGTCCTAAAAGTGAGGTATGTAAGCCCACCCTAAGTCCTAGCCAGGTTAATTAAATTTATCCTTGAAGCACAATATAAATTCTTCTGAGTTTAAGCATAAACAATATCAATCAATCAGATTTTGATGATTAAATATTTATCCTCTTTCTCCCACTTTTGTCATCAACACAAAGAAAACAAAAGGAAAATAAAAAGGTTACTAAAAAAACATGTTTGGGATATTATAAATCTAGATAAAAATAAGCTGAAATCATTCTTTACTCCCCCTTAGTCAAATAAAGTTTGAACCAAATGAATTGGCTAAACTAGTTTAAAAGCATATTCAATTCTCAAGGTGGTCAAATATTGGTTCTGACAACTGAGCATAGATAAGTAGGGATCAGAACTGGGAAGACGTGCAAGAAGACTAAGACCGAATTCTCCCTCCCGCACCTATTGGTGCACATAGATTAAAAATGAAAAGCGTTATCCCAAGCTATCTATAAAAAGCAGATTCGCATCACCAACAAGATCACATTCCTCTTCTTCTAAACTTCTATTTTCAAGTAATATGGGAAAGTCAAAGCCAGATAAGAACTTGATGAGAGACTTTTCTGAGGAGGTTAGAAAGATCATGAAGAAGCAAGAGAAGATCAAATCTGCTAAAGCTGCAAAAGCTGAGAAAGCCATAGAAGTTGAAGATTCAAGCATACCTATCAGGGCCTCCAAGATATGTAGAACTTTAGAGACAACAATGATGACCCCCAAAATGAAGATGGAGCATGCTGAAGAATTTGAATTACATTCAGATGCAGATGAGGACTATGTGTATTTCCTCATAAATTATAGAGGTGATGAATACCAAGTTTGAGGGTTTAATATTCTCTAAAGCACATTTGTTTCCATCTAATTCCGACTTATGTAATCATTTTCATGATCAATAAACACGATTCCTTTTCCCATTATTGCAAATAATTCTCTTGTCACCAACTACCTTCTATTTAACCACTAATATAGAGATTTCATAGCAGTTTTAAACCATTTTAGCTATAAATTTTGAAGATAAAGATTAAAAAAACAAATTTGTGACTATGGAGAATCATGACATGATTTTATTTTACCATAATTAAAATACTAAATCCGAATTAGTATAGCTCAGATTATGAGCAAACAACAGAATCTGAAAGATAAGCAAATCCAACAGATAAAACACCAAAACAGTCAGAGGACTTTTCAGATAAGTGGCATCTAAGGGGATAAAAGATAAAAAGAATTTCCACTTATATGCTATCAGAGACAATTAATCGAATTCTTAGCATCAGAGGATGAGATGCTTCAGAGTCTCATATTCATCAAAAGCTAGTTTAGAGCTTCTAATCATAGTAGCTTCCGATCATCATCAGACTCTGACCCTTTATTCAGAAACCAACACTATTATTTAACAATATGAATGTTTTATTATTTTTAATAAAATCACATATTTCAAAGGTAAGAGGCTTGGTAAATATTCCATTCCATTGATGATCAATGAAATGTATATTTATTACACCCTTTTGAACTTGGTTCTAGAATATTGAATAGGATTCTTTGTCAAACAAATAGAAGCAGTATTATAACAAAATATTGGTATACTGCTCACATGAATATGATAATCCTTTAGTTGATATTTCAACCAGAGTAGTTGTGTGCAACAACTAACAACTGAGACGTATTATGCTTATGTAGAGGACAAAGCAATAATTGCTTGTCTTTTACTAGCCAAGGATATAAGGTTTTTACCCATGAATTGACAACATCCACTAGTGTATTTTATTTAATTATATTGCAATCATAGTCATTATCACACAATCCAACTAGTTTATAGTCCAGAGATTTATTATAAAGCAATCCTAGATTAGTTGTTCCCTTCAGATACATAAAGAACCTATTAACAACAATTAAGTGAGACTCTCTAAGATATAATTCAAACCTTGCACACAAGAAGGCACTGAATAAGATATCATGCCTAGAAGTTATTAGGTAAAGTAAAGAACCAATCATACCTCTATAGAGCTTCTAACATACATTGGTTTTGCTTTCCTCTTTGCTCAGATGGTAGGTTGGATGCATATGAGTTGTCATGATTTTATAGTCATCCAGTTTAAACTTCTTTATAATTTCCTTTGTGTATTTGGTTTGATGAACATAGACTCCATCTGTGTACTGATTTATTTGAACTCCTTGGAAGAACTTCAATTCTCCCATCAGGCTCATCTCAAATTCAGCCTGCATAGTCTTAGAAAATTCCTTGGAAAGAGTAGCATCAGTATAACCAAAAATGATATCATCTACATATACTTGAACAATCGATATTTCATTCCTCAATGTCTTTCTGAATAGTGTAGTGTCTAATTGACCCTTTTTAAACCACTTTCTAATAGAAAAGTTCCCAGTATCTCGTACCAAGCTCAAGGAGCTTGTTAGAGACCATCAATTTCTTTAGTTTGAACACATATTCTAGGGGGATATAGCCCTCAAACCCATATGGTTTTTTGACATACACTTCTTTAGAAATTACACGATTTAGAAATTCACACTTAACATTTATCTGATATGAGATAATATCATGATTATTAGAATAGGAAAGAAGTAGTTTGATTGCCTCTAACCTTGCACCAGGTGCAAAGGTTTCAGAGAAATATATACATTCTTGCTGACTGTAGCCTTGAGCTACACGTCTGATTTATTTCTTACTACTTCTCCTTGTTTATTGAGCTTGTTTCTGAAGACCCATTTTATTCAAATAACATTCTTCTGATATAGTTTGTGCACGAGAACTAAAACATCATTTCTTTTAAACCGATTCAGCTCTTCTTGCATAGCTACAATCCATCCATTATTTGAAAGTTCTTCATCAATAGAAGTGGGTTAGATCATGGAAATAAGTCCTAGCATATATTGTTCTCCTCTGAATGCAGATATTATCTTCCTAGAACTATCCTTATTTCCAATTATCAACTCTTCTAGATGTGAAGAATTATACTTGAAAGAGATCTTGGATTGTGTATCTTCTTGAGAAACATTTGAGCTTGTTCAGATTCTTATTGATCCTGATGAACTTCAGAGGTTGGATCAGCTTCAGGATCTCCATCTTTTTAATGTTTGAACAACTTCTGAACTCACAACTTCTAAAAATTTATTAGTTTATGATCAGTTAACCATTACAAATTGAGATACTATGGAACAACTAGTGCCACAGGTGTCTTAATATTCTTGTAGTTCTGCAAAACTTTCAACAAGCTCTGACATTTTATTTCCAAACTCTTTGTCATCAAATTTGGCATGTATTGACTCTTCAACCATTTTGGTATCAGAGTTATACACCTTGATTTTTGGTTGTCTGATCACACTCGAAATTATGTATCTACTTATCGTATTTTTATGCCTTTAAGCATTCAAAATATCCTAGGAAGACACCCTTTTGAGCTTTGGTGTCAAATTTCTTTTGATAAAATTTGTTGTTTAGAATGTAACATATACATCCAAACTGATGAAAATAAGAAATGCCTTCCTTTCTTCCCTTGAAGAGCTCATATGATGTTTTACTCAAAATTGTTCTAATATATATATATATATATATATATATATATATATATATATATATATATATATATATATATATATATATATATATATATATATATATATATATATATATATATATATATATATATATATATATATATATATATATATATATATTCTACGACTGACTGTATCCAAAAGAGTATCAGAGAGAACCTCTGTCTGGTTTTATTTGACTAATGCTTTTTGAATGAACCTATCCTATTTTATCTGAGGGAAATGCTTTTTAGAATGAATCTTTGAAGGAAATGCTCGTCAGAATTAGTCTCTGAGGGAAATGCTTTTCAGAATGAACCTCTGAAGGAAATGCTTGTTAGAATTATTCTCTGAGGGAAATGATTTTCAGAATAAATCTCTGAAGGAAATTCTCGTCCGAATTAGTCTCTGAGGGAAATCATCTGGTCATGTAGATAGTCGCCCCGTCATGTTGTGGGAATTGATCTATAACCTTTCTATAAATTGTTGATAATATTCGTTTGTTTGCGAACTTAACCTGAAACGACAAAGTTAGTTTTATGAAATGTCATGATGTATGTAATGCATATGTAATGAAAAATAAATGAGAATATTATATGCGTTTCGTATGCATATGTCATGATATTTTGTAAATGATGTATGGATGTCATATGTCCTTGGAACGTATCGGTAGCTTCTTGTAACAACTCGGGCTGGCAATTAAAAAGTGAGCTAGCGATTAAGATCCCGTAGATAACTAAGGATAAAAAGGGTGCTAACACCTTCCCTTTTCATAACCTACCCCCCTGAACTCAGAAAAATTCTTAAAGGTCTTTGCTGTTCTTTTCACCCTTTCCTTTATTGGATAAAAGAAAAGTTGGTGGCGACTCTTTCTATTCGCAACATTTGCGATAAAACACAAAACCAAAAGTCAGTTCTCCCACCATATTACAGAACTGGCGACTCTGCTAGGGTAAAACTAAAAGTGGGGTTACCTTAAGATTTATATCACCTTTATTTATTTACTTGTTTGCGTTGTATGCTTTAAATTTCGGGATATGCTTGGGTTTATTTATTATATAGATCCTATACCCGGATATGAGGTAATTTTAGGTAAGTAGCAATAGATCGTGAAAATTGTACGGTGTATACTGATACGGTTAAAGCGATGGCTATGTTAGTGTGACACATTGGTTGGTGTCGGTGTCCCTTGAGTTAAGTCAAGGAGAATATTGGGTTGCCGCGTGGTGTCATAAACCACTAACTGACTATAGAACCTTAGTTGACACAACTTAGCCATTAAAAAGTAGTGAGATAGCCAGCTTTGGTGCAGACTGAAGTTGGTTGATACTCGATGCTACACTCATTGAGATCAGACTCTCGGGATATTTCGGTCGCAAATCAGATACTTGTGCTGAAACAATGCCTGGGAGAGAGATCAATGATTTTGGAGCTCCTAGGACCCAAATACTTCTTTTAGGACAGGTTGATCCAACTAAAACTTCAAGAGGGTACTTACCTACAAACTCTATGCAAGCTTAAACCTAAGGCCTTGTATGTTTTATTTGTTTATGATTAATTGTTCGAACATGACATCATAACATCATGACATCATACCATATCATTTTCACTAACCATTTCAAGTATCTAAAGGGCCTGTGATGTAGGTTATCATGAACCAGACGCCTAGCAAGGGGTCGGAGGATTTATTTTCCTCTAACCAAATTCTGCCAAAGTATCATGAACTGATGTCTAGCAAGGGGCAAGGGGATTTATTTTCCTCTAACTAAATACTGTCAAAGAACAAAGTACATTATCTTGAGTCAAAGGCTAGGACCTACTCGGTATGGTGACCTCGATTCTCGTAGAAGGAAATTCAACGATACAAAATTCTTCGATCAAAGCTGCAGTCGGACTCTAACATTATCTTTTTTTACCCTGTGAGGTCCTTGAAAACATTGCATTTACATATCATGCATCATTACATAACATGTTTTCCATACAAGTTTTCTCATCAACTTAGTGTTTATTTCAGTATAAGATGGCCCTTGAACAAACTATTAAGGACCTCCAAGCTCAGCACGCATAATTTTAAGAGACTCTTCTGAATCTGGCACGGGGACAAAAAGATCTAATGGCACTGGCTGACAAGAAAAAGAAGACTAAAATGCCGGCTGTTATCCTCAACAAGGGGAGAAGATTCAAAGGTCCTGCTCAACTAGTTCAAGTGGACGATATTTCCTACGAAGAAGATGACAACCAAGAAGAAGATGGTAGAAGCATCAAGCCTGA